CCCACCCCCCACCCACCGTCATAACATATCCAGGGCTTCTTTCTTTGGTGTGTTTTAGGCCACATGCTTGGCCCTGAATCAATCACTGAGGCTAAGACAGGCCATGCTGATTGGCTTACATTTGGGTTATTACCAAACCTGAACAAATTACTGAAGCAAAGAAGGACGGATTAAAATGAATGCTTTAGGCCAGTCAAGGCTTGGCCTTGGAGGTAGGAGAGGGTCAAATCCATGCAAGCCTATGGGCTGCCACAGTTGCGGGGGGAGGGGGGGGAAGGATGCCAATAGTGTCCACTACAGGTTTTTATCACAGTAAGAATCTACCACTATAGAGAACAATGGTGATTGGCCTCTAGCGTTCATTTCCCCCTTTCGGCTATAACTCTATTTGCATTTGGGGCTCCATTCCCTCCCCATTCTTAGACTGTGCTTCTGTTGGAGCTCCATTTCCCACTCATTCATTGGAGAAGCATGTGATTAAAAGTTAGGCCAATCAATGCACTGTCATCTGGCCACCGGTTTGCTTCTCCAGAGAGTCACTTGGCTTGATCGAAGCCAGTAGAACATAATGATACTCATTGGGAAGGAAGGCTGGGACTGCGCCAGCTGCTCTTGACTGCTGAACTTGACCCTAAGAGGATGTAAGGCCTTGAACTATTGCTGCTGCCACATGGAGCGAGCCTGAGGTTGGAGCTAATAGAGATGGAGAGGGGAGAAACCTACTGAAGCCACTCACACAGCCAAGCTAGTCCTGGACATTTCAGTTTATGATTCACACATTTCCTCTTTGCTTTAAGTCAGTTTGGATCAAGTTTTTTTGTCAGCTGCAACGGTGTCTTAAATCATACAATTCTCCTTCCTGTTCAAAGGCAATAAATATCCTGAGTAGTGCATGTGGGTGGCTAGAATGCTTGGTCCAAACTTCACCATTTGTCATTTAACACTAATATTACACAGAAATCATCCCAGCTGTGAAAGACGTGGAAGAATGCTGAATGAATATGGGTGGGATTTAGTCTAGATCAGTGATAGGCAAACTATAGCCCATGGACCAAATCTGGCCCATCATCTGTTTTCATAAAGTTTTATTGGAACACAGCCACACTTTGTCTATGGCTGTTTTGAACTACAATGGCAGAGCAGTTAGCAGTTGCTTGCAAAGCTGAAATATTTAGTATTTGGTCCTTTACAGAGAAAGTTTGTTGCCCCCTGGGGTAGATAGTGGAAGAATAAAATACTAGCCAATTATTTCCCCCAAAATAAATACCTGTGTCCCCAAATGGAAGCAAAACTGAGTGGTCCTCCATCATAGACCTCTGTATCCCATTAACATCAGGTCCGATTATCAGTGTTAGCAAAGCCAGCTTTCATGGAACTGAACTTATCCCAGAGAGTGAATGAGAGACATCCTATGTCTTTCTTAGGATTTGGTCTATGCAGTGCCTTTATCTTTGTAGGCCTGGTCACAGTGTCTCAGAAGCCCACAGGCATAAAAACATTCTTTTCCCACCCCAGTCCATTATCCTTCTCTCTGAGTTGGGGTGCTAAAGCTATTGGCAAATTCCTACAGGGAGCCCGGTGATCCACTTCCAAAGGAGGTGGGATCAACTTTGTAAACATGGTGGGAATAAGGGAGAAGTGCTTCAGTTTTCATAATGGAATGTCAGCATTGTTAGCTGTATATCTGACATCTGAGGCTGATGGATTGTACTTGTACCAACAATATAGTTCATTCCAGGGCAATTGGGGGAGCTCAATTTTTAATTCCTGGCTAACAAGCTCTTGCCAGAAGTGGGAGCATAGACAGTTAAGATTGGTGAAAGAGCCAGGGTCACATAAGCAACCACCCCCTCGGTGTTTTCTAAACTGAATCTCTCTGCCCAGTTAAATCACCAGGAAGCAACATAGCAAGACCTAAGCCCTCAGTGGAAGTTATTTGATATGGCCTCTGCTTTTGTGTGAGGAATTCCTGAGAAGTGGCTTCCTCAAAATACGATTGATAGCATTGTCCACAACACAGTGGCTAGAATCTAACTTGTGGCTTCTAACTCAGAAATTAAACCATGAAGAGAAGGCAGTTTAAGAATACTGTTAACTGATTGTTTTTATCTCAAGGGAGTTTGCACTGCCTTATCCCTAAGGCTCTGCTTCTGCTCCCAGTAGGGTCTGGCAGGCTTCCCAACTTACATGGCACTCAAGGTGGGGCTGAGATGGATCCAAGGAGGATGCTGGGGATCAACTGGATATAGATATCTATAATAGTCTTGTATTTATTGATGGGGTAAATATTTGGGGGAACCCACCTTGAATGCTATATAAGTGCTTCCTGCTTAAGGATCCACATGACAAATCTGAGAATTTACCTCAAGGACCCACTCTGAATGCTGTTCAAGGGAAACCCTCCAAACTCAACTGGGAGAAGAAAGGAAGTCTCAAGGATATAACAGTAAGATTTTTTTTTTTTTTAAGATTTTTTTATTCAAGGATAGGGGAAGGGGAACAGCCAAGTTGTTGTTCTTCAGTCTTAGTTGTGAAGGGCGCAGCTAGCTCAGCCCCAAGCCCAGTCACCATCCGGCCACCCGTAGGCAGCTCAGAGCAGCTCAGCTCAAGGTGCCGTGTTCAATCTTAGTTGCGGGTGGGCAGCCCACCATCCCATGTGGGAGTCAAACCGGCAACATTGTTGTTAGGAGCACATGCTCTCACTAGCTGAGCCATGTTGGCAGCTCAGCGGCAGCTCAGCTCAGGTGCAGCTCACTGGTCCATGTGGGAATCGAACTGGTGACCCTGTTGCTCAGAGCTCACGCTCTTAACCAACTGAGCCACTTGGCCGGTGCCCCCAGTAAGATTCTTATTCTGGGATAATACCATTAAACGACCCTCTCTTCTCTACTTGACCAAACTTTATCTACCCTTTGGGACCCAGCTCAAATCCTCTCTCCTTGGTATAAAGCCAGCTCAGACTGAGCAATCCCTTCTGTCTCTTCACATGATTATTACTGCAATTAATCTCTTAATACCTTGAGAATGTTGACTATAAACAAAGTCAGCCAGATATTTCTCCAGCAAAATAGGTTTATTCGGGAGACAAGGAATTGCAGTCCTGAGCATGCGACCACCATGAACTATGTGCAAGTCAGCTAAAACAAAGAGGAAGCTCTTTTATAGAGGGGAAAGGAAGTTGGGAAGGGCTGTTACAAAGAGTTTCCCATTTTGCACTTAGCGCTGGAGGTCGGGCACAAGAGCTCCCCCTTCTGGCCACCCTACTTCACTTTAAATGAGATTTCTGTTCTTTCATTTTTTACAAGGCTACTGGTGTAATGCATGGACAGTAGTTAAGAGTGGGAATTGTAGAATTTCTGGTAGGGTTTGGCCTTTTTTGTTGTAGTGATGGGGAGGATACATTTCAATATGTTGCTTTGTAGCCCGAGCCTTTGTTAACAATGGCAAAAGTAGCACAGGGGCAGGAATTACACTCCAGGACGTGGATCTGGTTTATGCCCTGCCTCTGAGGACACCCTCTTCTTGTCCATCAAGGAGCGTCAGGCTACAGAGCACCCACCTTCTTGTTCTCCCTTAGGAAAGGGTCTCTCACCAGATGAGGAGGAAAGCCAGGTGACAAGATTCTGACCTGTCCCTGTGACAGCCCCCCGCCTCTAGCCGGGACATCCACCCACCCACTCATTGCTAAATACCTGCTTTCGGACTCAGGAGCACAGTCCCTGCTTACAGTCAGGTTGAGGAGGCACCCAGACAGGCCAGGAAACGCAGGGTGCAAAGTGCTGGGGCAAAAGTAAATTGAATTGCTCCAGGGAACTTGGGAAACATAGCTTTCCCCACTTCTTGTTAGGCCCACTGTATCCTCAGCTGGCGCAGATATGAGAGGGTGGAACCCAAGTCAGACCTGTTTGTAATCACTGATGAGCATGGTCTGGAATCTCTCTCCCAGGAGGAGACTGGCGATCCATGAGCAACTTCAGTAACTCCTAACACGGGGCATTCTGAAGGAGATTTCTTGGTACCAGTCTAAATGAGAGACATCATAGAAAATGTTAATCTTTTATTATTTCAAGGAGGTAATACATAGTCCAGTACGCCAAAGCAATGGGGAATTAGAGGCAGCAAATGGCCAGTTTCTGAGAAGAGCCTCATGCTGCGTCTCTGAGCTCCCATCTGCCCACAGCCATGGCTGCTTACATGAAAGCCTGGTCTGCGACATGGAACTTGCTGTGACATGTGGACAGATGACCCAATACCCCACAGGTGGAGAAAGGGTTCCGTGTGAGCAGCAGAGGCCCTGCCAGGCTGAACACACCAGGTAGCCCTCAGCCGCGCCACAGCCAGGATCATGTGGCTACTGCCTTAGCAGCAGCCAGCTTGTCTAGCACTTGATTTTATTTCTTTGAGTCTTAGTGGGCAGGATGTGAGTAAATCCTGAGTCAGAAATTAAGGTGAAAGACTTAGTCGTGTTAATAATCTGGGTGAGAAGAGACAACACTGTCTTTGAGGAGGGTGGGCTGGGAGTTTGGTGGAAGAAAGATGGAAACACGCAGAATGGCCACGGGCTGCAGGCGCTGCCTTGAGGCCATCAGAGGGGATTTTCACGGTACATGATGGGGTGGGGTGAGGGTGTGGGCACTGGAGCTGCTTCTTCTGACATAGAGTTAAATTAGAGGTTCATGTTCTGCTCATAATTGGTTTCCCACACCTGGGGCTGAAGCAAATCCTGCCCAGGCACCATGGGCAGCCTTGGAGAGATGTGTGGCTCAGTTCTCCAGTGTGGAGGGTGAGGGACTCACAACTCAAGGAGACCTCTCTCCTCCAACCCAGCTCCTTTCCCTTGAAAATGACCAGGGAGGGAGGTGAGAGTCTTGGACACCTCCTAGTGAAGCCCCGCCATGCTTTTTTCTGAAGAATTCATTTTGGTGGGACCCAAAGCCCCTCCCTTGGCATGGAGCAGATTTATTTCCACTCACAGGAGGGTACCTTCCTGGAGACTTAATAGTGTCATGCAAGTGGGAATCGCAGCAGTGGCTCTGGATGCTGTAATACTCATGGATGTCATTCATTTCAATAAGACTGCCTGGGCTGGAGAGCTGGAGGGGAGGGGCCGCTTCTTCTCAGCATGCACTGTTTCCCAACCAACCCTGGCCAGGCCTGAGCCGGGTTTAGATGCGGCATGGGCTGATAGAGTTTTGGTTTGATAGGAGTGGAAAGAATTTTTTTAAAACCATGCCACCGTGTTCTCAAAACCCAGAGTCATCGCTTTTGACAATAAAGGACAACCACAGCTCCGTCGTAGCCAAGGCTTGTGCAGCACAGAATGCAGTATGTATCAGAACGTATAAGCCTTGGTCTGAACAGGTGAACACTGAGCTGCAGGGAACACAGAGGCTCGGGACCCCATATCCTCTAGTCATTGGAAGGTGCTGCTGTTGCCTCATCCTCACGCTCCTCGAAGCCTGGCACCGGCTTCTGCAGAAAGTGCATGGTGGCCTGGATCACCTTTTCCGGTCCAATATTGTACACAGGGTGAGTAGGCTGCTGCAAAGACAAGAACAGATGCCAATTAATCACCCCAGTGGGCTTTGGAAATTTGACCCATTAAATGCACTTATAAGAATTTAGCATAGGAATCATCAGAGATGCACACTGATATTTATCACACGAGGCCCTAATATTCAACAGCAGGATATTGGTGAAAACATTTTATAGTACATGGGACACAAAGGAGTATTATATAGCCGCTAAAAACATGCTTTGAAATATTTAATGATATGGGCAAATGCTTATAAAAACATATTAAGCGAGGAAAACAGCATGCATATTATTGTCCCAAACTTACTTTTTAAAAATGTGTTTGTAATTCTGAATTATAGTATGTGCAATTCAGGGTAAGGATATTTTAGGTACACCACTTGGAAAAATGCCATTTTTCTGAAAAATGTTTAATCAGTCTTGTATGCTTCTCTTTTAATTAAAAAGATGCAGTTAAAAAGTTAAAATGTGCTTGTATATGTGATGTACATAAATAGGCAAAAATTGGACATACACCAAAATAGGAAGTGATACGATTGAGTGTTTTTAATTTTCATATATATATCTCCCAATTACTAAAATAATAAATGTATTTACATTTATAATAAAGAAAAAGGACCACAATGCTATTATGCAGTAAAGGTGACAGGCCATATTTAAATACTTTTATATTATTCCACTATATCACAGAAACCCAAAAGAAACTTTAGATCTGAGATAGGGCACACTCATAGGCCAGTATTTAGGACTCTTCCACTCTGGGAGAATGAAGAATGGGACATAACTGCAGGAGAGATTTTAAACATTTTAAGAGAATACTATGAGCAACTTCATGCCAAAACATAAAAATTCAGATAAACTGAATAATTTTATAGAAAATAAATTTTCCAAATTGATTCAAGAAGAAATTCTTTAAAACCCATAAGAATAAATTAAATCAATAATAATAATAATTGCTATTTCTGCTACCACCCCCAAAATGCCAGGCCTAGATGGTTTCTCAGGCAAGTATTATCAAACCTACAATAAACAGATAATGTCTAACCTACACAACTTTTTCAAAGACTGAAAAAAAGTAGAAGGAAGAAACCAATCTAATTTTATGAGGCCATGATATTATCCTGAAACATAATCTGGGAGAGAACAATAAAACAAAATTTTTTATCAACCTTATGAACATACATGCAAAAAATACTAAATAAAAATGCTAGCCAAATATACTAGCAAATTGAATCCAGCAGTGTATTAAACAAACATACACACTCGCACACTACTATGAGCAAGAAGGGCTTATCCCGAGAATGTAAGGTTAACAGCAAAATATTTATTAATGAAACATACCATATTAGATTAAAGGAGAAAAACCAGATGCAGAAAAAAGCAGTCAATAAAATTGAACACTAGATTATGACTGAAAAACAAAACCAACCTAGCAAACCAGGAATAAAGAGGAACATCCTTAGCCTGAGATGAAGTATTTATCAAAATCCATTAAGTCGTAAGCATCCTACTTAATGGTAAAATTATAGAAGCCGTCCCATTACAATCAGAAATAAGACAGGAACGCCCTCTATTACTACCTCCAGTCAACACTCTATAGGAGTGTTAGCCAACATTACAGGGCATGAACAAGAAATAAAATTCTTAAGAATCAGAAAGGAAAAGGCAAGACTGTCTTCATTTGAAGATAACATACATCCCAAATAGAAAATCCAAGAGAGTCTATGGACAAACTATTACAACTATTAAGAGGGTTCAGAGACTTCCGGTCAAGATGGCAGAGTAGGTAAACACTGTGTTTACCTTCTCTCATGACCACTTCAAATGAAAACTACAGAACAAACATCACTGAGAATCGCCTAAAGTCTAGCTGAACTGAAGCCCTACAACTAAGGACATACAGAAGAAGCCACCTCCAGGCTGGTAGGAGGGGCAGAGACATGGAACGGGCTGGTCCCACACCCACATGTGTCCATTACAAATCGGGAGGGATATCTTCGCTGTGGAGGTCCTGCCTGAAGGAGCGAGGAACCCCAGCTGCACACCAAGCTCCCCAGCCAGGGTTTCAGTGCCAGGGGGAGAAATCTCCATAACTTCTGGCTGTGAAAACCAGTGGAGATTGTGCCTGAGTGAGATGGAGGGCGGCTGCAGTCCCAGGCGCCCCTCTTAAGAAGCCTGCACACAGACTTACTCACTGACGGTGTCACTCGCTCTGAGCTCCAGTGCTGGGGCAGCAGCTCCATAGGCACCAGGGACATATGGGGAGGATTTCTCAACTAACCCCCTCCGCCAAAAAAAAACACCTCAAAAACCAAAACAGCACATGAAATTTTTCATTTTAGTTAAAATGTTCTTCTATTCAAAAAACAAAAATACACTGGAAACAAAGTGAAAAGACAAGTCACAAACTGGAAGAGATTCACCACACACATACACATCACTGACAAAGGATTAGTATCAAGAACATATAGAGAACTCCTACAAATTAAAAGAAAAGGGCAAACAATTTAAATTACAGATCAGGGAGAAAGTGGACAAAGGATATGAGCTGGCAGGCAATTCACAGAAGACGAAACGCAAATGGCCAATAAACATTTGAAAAGATGCTCAACCTCAGGGAGTAATCAGCGAAATGCAAAACAAAACTGAGATACCATTTCACATCTATCCAATTGGCAGAAAGGAAAAGTCTGACTATGGAGCGACTCAGTGCCATGTAGTGAAGATGGAGGTGTAAATTCTCTTCAAGTCAGCAAGTCCTTCCTCGAGAAATTCACAAGAGTGTTCACTACAACACTGTAACAGCGAGAACTGAAACCATCTCAATGTTAACCAACAGGAGACTAGAAACATACATCGGGATACATTTATGCAAGGGAATGCCATATAGTAGTTAAAATGAATAAACTAGAGCAACATAAATGAACACAGATAAAGCTCAGAAGTGAGAGGTCAGTGAGAAATGCAACGCAGAATAAGTAGCACAGTAGATACAGTTATAAAATGTTTGAGGGCCGGCCGAGCGGCTCAGTTGGTTAAGAGCTCGCTCAAGAGTTTGAGCTCTGAGCAACAGCGGTTCGAGTCCGGCCTGAGCTGAGCAGCCGCTGAGCTGCCAACAGGTGGCAGGATGGCTCAGCTAAAAAAAAAAAAAAATGTTTGAAAACATACAAAACGACTTGTTTATGGATACATACATATGTAGTAATAGCACAAAAATGTCTGCAGGCATGATAAATGTCAAATTTAGGACAAGGTTATGCTGGGGAAGGAAGTAGGGAAAAGAATGGAAGAGGGTTGCATAGGAGACAAATATTGAAAAATGTTAAGACTTGACAAAGCTGAATGGCTGTTACTCTGATTTTCTCTGATTGCTAGGGAGGCTGCCCATCTTTTCATCCATCTACTGGCCATTTGTGTTTCTTCTGTTAGAAATATTTTGTGACAATCTTCACAGGCCCGATTATCTAATGGCTGTGGACAATTTTAGTTGGACTCATGTCTCAGGCTCAGGAGCATCTCCTGCGACCAGACTGGTCTAGGGCTGGATGCAGTAGTTAGCATCCTGCCCTCATGGGCTGACAGACAGTTTTTCAGGGCAGCAGACAAAAAAAACCAAAAACAACAACAACAGCAAAAAAGTTACACACACACACACACACATACACACACACACACACACACACACATTACAAATTGTGATGAGTGCTATGACGGGCACAAACAAAGCACTGTGGCAGAGCATTTGGGGCCATCTCATTTATAGCAGGTGGTTTGAGAAGGCTTCTCTGGAGAGATGGCACACAAGCTGAGAGCTCCAGAAGACAGAGTCAACCATACAGTGAGCGCTGTGTGGCTGCGGATGCCAGAAACTTTTTGCCTTCGAGTAAGATTCCTTGGAGAGGGAACAAATGATAAGTGGTCCAGGTCCTAGACCATGGTATAAAGGTAGAAAGCCTCTGTCACAGATTGGAACCCCCACCTAGAACCTTGGGTTTGCCTTCAGGTGCATTTCCTCCATAGTCATATCCTCATGAATGAGCTGTAAACCAAGGGAAGGTGGTGACTGCCAGCTCACCAGCCTGTCCAGACAGCAGAGCCAGTTCTGCAGAGCAAGAGCAGCTGTTCTCGCTTGGTAAGCTCCCGTTCTGGGAACGCTGTAGAGGAAGGGTGTTAAGTGCCCTTGTCCCGCCTTACCAGAGCGTTTTCAGGCACACCCAGGACCACATCGTGCAACATGGCTCCACTGCCAAAGTGCTGAGCTATGGACAGGCCGCTCAAGCAGTAGCAAGTGTGGTAGAAGTCCCGCGACCTGCAAAGACACGGTGGCTCTGAGTGGGTGCTTCTCTGCTTCCCACAACCTCCGCCCCCAGCGCAGCCTCCAACCACAAAGCAAGCACACAGGCTGAGAGGCCCAGGATACACGCACACATCCCACCCTGCCCTCCTCACAGAGCGCAGGGAAGCCTGATTTTCTGTGGCAGCATTTTTCAACGCCCCATCCTTCAGCCCTGCTAGACAGCGGAAACTGTCATTTAAAATGGTGTCAGTCCTTCCAGCCGTCTTCCAAAAAGGGTTCTCTTGGGTAGTGCTAGTGCTAAATTAATATATTTCTCAAAAAAAAAAAAACCTAAAACACCACACTGTCTAGAAATGGGCCAAATTCTTTGGATAAATTGCTGGAGACCAGCCTCAGCTGGGCCTTACCTCGGATGCTGACAGCAGCAGGGACTGTGTGTGTGTGCATGGGGGCGAGAAGCACAGAGAGCAGAACTTATTTGATTTCTCTTTTTCTTTTGTTTGGCACCTAAAAGTATTTATTCTATAATAGTTGTGATTACAATCTCTGTTTATGATACTCCAGGGTTTTAAAATCCTGTTCTATTTAAATCAGTTTGGTTAACAAAAAAAAAAAAAAAAGAGGAAAGAAATACTAGCACCTCAGCAATCTGTTTGCCTATCTGGAGAGGGGAGTGCATGTAAGCTGCGGGAAAGGTTGGGCACTGGAGGTGCCAGGATGGATGGCACTCAAAGGGGGTGCTCCCAATTGGGGTGCTTCTTCCCACACCACACCAGCACTAAGCATCTGGATGGAAAGGGACAACCCAGCTTTTAAAGGTTGCCACCTGCTGCCATCTGACTCCAAGTCAGCCTGAGGTACACACGGGCTCTCTCCCTTTCTCCTCCCTTCCTCCCCAGAGAGAAGGCACTCACTTGCCAGGTTTATCCAGCAGTCCCCCCGCGGGGCACTGGCAGCACATAAGAATGTACTCCTGCAGGGCTTGCTGATGAAACATCCAGTGGCTCATGCTGAGGGCAGGGTCGCCTGCAGAAAGGCAAAGGATCAGTAGGCAGGGCCTGCGAGAAGTCCACACAGCATCATGGCGTCTCTGCATTTTCTCACCCAAAGGGAAAAGTCAAGGTTTCCTTCTATTCTTCTTGGTCTAATGTTGAAAATTACAGTCTTGGGACACTTCATGTCTTCACCCAAATCCCATGACATGTCCCTTCTCCTGAACCCTGACATGAGTCAAAGAGCAGCAGTGCAGAGTGGCACTTTTCGCCTTACTTGAAGGTCACACATTACCCTAAATGACCACCTACAACCACCTCTGTGGCAGGCACGGACTCGCTGGTTAGCTCACCTTTCCAGAACTCAGTGCTGCCAAGTTGGTTCAAAACGCTTTCCTCTGGGCTTCTTAAGACATTTCCTCTGGTGCATCTCTGAACCAGTTAACCATACTAATTCGCTAAGAGAACACAACCAAGGTAATAATGTCTGTTTCTTCTACTTTTCTAAGCCTGAATTTAATCTATCTCCAAAGGGAATTCTCCACCTTTTCTCTTGGCTCAAAAAATGTTCCCAAGAAGCATGACTAGGAATTGCCCTCCTGCATCATATAATGTGGTAGCCCAAGCAGAAATGGACAATTCTGGTAATAATGCTAAAGCAAAGAATTTGTAAATAGCAACTGTAAGCTAATTTTATTTTTTAATTTTAAGATGTTTCTGTACTACCTCCAGCATTGGTTACTTTTTTTAAAGTTCTCAGCAATTAAAATGTTAAAAAGAAACAGTACCCAATCATTTGTTTTGATTTGCATGCCTTTGATTACTAAGTAGGGTGAAAATTTCCCATAACTTTTGTTTACTAGTTGCATTTCCTTTTGAGAGCATCTTCTGAGACCCAAGAGTCAATTTTATTAATCTAGCTTTCTATTATATTTACCCTTGTTTGTATCATATCCTATACCTATTTTCCCCTTTTTACTCTTTTGTTTTGGTTATATGGATTTTAAAGAAATTACACACACACATACAGAGGGTGCCAAAAAAATGTATACACATTTTAAGAAAGGAAAAAGCTGTATTAAAATTGTAATACTCAATATATATCGATAACAAAAGATAAATACAAGTCATGTGTACACATTTTTTGGCACCCCTGGTATATGGTTTACACATATGCTGTGATCACACTTGACTTTTTTTCTTTGTGATTTCTTCTTTAAAGAAGCGTATTTAATTGGTCCAGGGATTCTTGGGGGTGATAAAAATTCTACACTGATTATGATGATGGCTGCACAACTCTGAATACACCAAAAACCATTGAGTTATATACTTTATATGGGCGAATTGTCTGGTATGTGAATTACATCTCAAGAAAGCTGTTATTTTAAAAAGCATATTTATTAAACTTCAGGATAACTGCATTAAACATCTGTACAAAATATAACTTTACTTCATATCCTATAAGACTGTTATTATAAGGTCAATGATAACCTATTGCTAAAAAATGGAATCTGACAAGAAAATGCTGGATTTATTGTTAAATAGATTACAGAGTGCTTCAGTGACCTCCTACATTACTGAAGCCTAAAAGCTCCAAGTTAATAAACTTGACAAGGAACTTCCAGAGATCTTGAATTTGCATACCGGCACTCATAATTACAGTGAGATGAAGAGAGATATGATTACAGGGGGATAACTGCACTGGAATCAGCCCTTTTAAATCCGTCATACCTGTACTTTAAATTCTAGATCCCATTATAATGTCACTTTCTGTTTCAAAGGTTCCTTTTATCTAAGAAATGAAAAGTTTTTCCAAACAGTGACAGGTGCAGCCACAGGCAGCTCAGTTTCAGAGGTGGACAATGCAGGCTTGGGGTATGTCCCAAAGAACAAACAAGCAGCTAGTAACTATCAACCCAGACAGGAACACGTAGGCCTGTGGCTTTCTTATGGCTGCACAAATACTAAATAACTCACTAATATTTAGTCAGCATTTGATATTTTTCAGATATGAATAATAACTCATGCTTTTGCTCAGACTGTCTTCTACACCTGTTCAGGCAGCCACTTGCCAAGTCAGGGTCCTTCCTGGATTCGTAGGCTGGCGTGTGTAGGTCCCTGGTTATCTTTTTAGTTAGCAATAGGATCATCACCTTTTAAAAGTATATATGTTCATCTACTAAATAAAAGTAGTAATGCACACGGTAAAAGAGAAAGAACGAGAGAGAGAGAGAGAGAGAGAGCGAGAGAGAAAAGAAAGGAAAGAAGGAAGGAAGGAAGGAAGGAAGGAAGGAAGGAAGGAAGGAAGGAAGGAAGGAAGGAAGGAAAAGGCAGAGTATGATACAGACAGAAGATTTAAGAACATCTTCTCTCTCCGTCTCCTCCCCTGCCCCAGAGGCACCCACTGTTAAAGGGGCCTTGTGTCGCTTCCAGGAAGAGTTGTGGAGACCACAGCCTGTACGCACACAGACTGATCTAGGCCTGGCCTTTTACACTTTAGGATGTGTCCTGGAGAACTTTTCACATCCTATTGTATGCAGCTACTGTATGGAGAGATCATAATTTATCTAACTGTCGACCTTTTGATGGGCAGTGGGTTGTTTGATATTAAAATTGCACTTCAGTACACATCCTTTGCTAATATCTCTGCAGGTAAATTCCTGACAGTGCACTTGCTTTGTTCAAATAAGCCAAACAGAGGTCTCCAACCTACCCTCCAAAACATGATGCACCTATTCCCATCCCTATTAACAGAGCAAAAGGGCCTATTTCTCCAACTCTCCCTCACATAGCATATCAAGGTTTCTAATCTCTGTCAGTCTGAGAGCAAAAACAAATAGTATCACTGTTTTTATTTGCATTTTTTAAACATCTTTTCATTTGATTAATGGCCCAGCGTGGCGGTTACAAGCAGGGCTCTGATACTGTTGTAGGTAGCAATCAGGTCTTATAAAGCCAGTCACTCACCCTCGCTGTACTTTGTTTCCTCATCTGTAAAATGGGGATAAGAACAGTACCTATTTCATAGTGTTGTTCTGAGGATCAAATGAAAAATATATGTGAAACAGTTTGGTCCCTTACGATGAGGGCTTGATAAGTCTCAGCTGCCAGTGGTTGCAGCAGTTGTAGTAGAAGTAATAAAAATACGGGTTTTTTCTGTCTGTTCTGAACCTGTCTGTTCAGATCCTTTGCCTGTTTTTCAATTGGGCTGTTCTTCTGTTTTTTATTGACTTAGATGACATTCTCAAATTAAAGAAATTAGCCCTTCGTCATTTGTCACAAATATTTTCCCCCCTTGCTACTTATTTTGCTTATAGAATTTCTCTTCTTTTGTAAAATAATCTTTATTGTTTTTCTTTATGCAAGAAATACATATTAATTATAGAAAAATTAGAAAATGCACATAAAAAAGAAAGAAAACAAATACCATAGGTCAGTTCACAACCCAGATACCTTCTATTGATTTTTTTGGACTCAACTCTTCACTGAAACTAGAATTATATACATACTGCTTTGAAAACTAACTTTGATCACTGTATATTCTGAATATCTTTCTACACAGCATCTCCTTTCAACTGCCAACATCAGTATTTTGCCCACTGCTCAAAACACTTCCCTTTTTCCCAGAACCCGGCCTGGTCCAAGTCCACTGTTTCTGAAAAGTGGGTGAGCATCAGGCCCAGTGCTGGCCTCCTCCCGGGCAGTGAAAAAAGCTGGAAGCACCGAGAGTCACAGACAACCTTTTCCCCAGGCAAAGCTTGGAATGTGCCTAGTCCTCCAGAACTTGTGCTACAATAAACAAAATGTCAACCAGGACCCCCCTGGAAGACTTTGGCAGGTACCGCTCCTGTTACAGCTCTCTCCAGATTTTCTTGGCAACTGCACGGTGACTGCATCTTATCCCTGCCAGGGACAGGTTTATGAAAGGCTGATGGTTTTACCAGGGCTTTGACCTCACCAGTTCCAATAAAGAGATCACTGAAACCCCAAGTTATTTATGTTTTGAAAACGTTGGACTCTAGGAGAATTCCTGACCTCCCACTATCATGGTCAAGCCAGAGACCATGCAGGCCCGAGAGTCAGGGGAACAACATGTCTTAATGCCGAGGGGCCCCAAGCCAAGGAATCTCAGGACAGACTGAGACGAGGAGAATGGGAGGACAGGACAGAGGCTCTGTTTGCTTCAGGTCAGTATCAAACGTGGCCACAACTCAAATGAAATTAAGGAACTAAAGAAAGGAGCTCAGAAAGAACAGCCAAACAAGAAGAAAAAGTGTGTGTGTGGCAGTAGAAAAAAATCCCATCTTCCACATTTGAGCAATTAATTGCCCAACTACTAAGTCCAAACAAAAGCTTCCCTCTGGGCCAACGGATCTCACTCCAAGAACAGATCAGCACCCAGCGGGGCAGCCATAACTTCCCCTCTCCCATTGGCCTCCTCGAGACACCCTGTTCTCACACTAAATGAGAAAGATGATTCAGGAGTCAGCAGGCAGCCTAAGGTTTCAAGAGATAATAAGTGAAGTCTCCCAGAAGCTTTGCTTGCTATCTGACTGCCTTGGTCTTACACCCCCATTTGAGACGCCACAGAAATGAACATGGGTCTTTCCATCCCAGTGGTGCGGGTGGAACAAAATTGCATTTAGGGTTCTTCAACAAGTTTAACATACATTTCTAACGGCAGCAACTGTGCAGCCAGACAGACACGGTGGGTCTTTTCTCTGTGAGTTCTGGTTCTCTGCCCCTTTACGCAATTGCAATTTTTTTTGTCACTGTTGTGATCATGTGAACAGCATGGGTTTTCAGTTCTGATATGACAAATATGGAGCTCTGCATTGGAAACCCAGCTGAGGTGGCAGTCACTGTGCAGCCCAGGACGGACGCCCACATCCTTTCAGCCACAGCCAGTTTGAATAGCCATGATGCCTAAACTATTTAAAGTAGCTCCTAGTCTGCACGTGCATGTCTAAGGTAGTAGGTTCCAGACGGGACACTCAGAATCCAGGAAAGAGCTTATTTCACCCTCTCTGAGAAAGCACTCTGGCTTCCTGAGTTGGTAAGCAGCCGAGGGAAATCTCCCAGCCCTCTCCAGCAGCTCTCTGGCTCACCTTGAGCGTGCAGCGCCCGGTGCAGCAGGGGTAGGAGCCCCGCCTGCCAGAAGGAGTAGCAACCATCCACCAGCTTGTTGCAGCGGCCCTGAAATCCACCTTCAAACCGCATCTGCCGGCTTGTCACCCATTGCTGAGAATAAGACAGGGAAGGGAGAGGCAGTTGTAGGCTAAAAGACACAAAATCCAGCAAGACAAGATCTCCAGAGGCCAATATGGGAAGGGAGGATTCCTGTCTCTTGGTTTCTTGGTGTTTTGACTTCTTACTTCCACCCCCTCATGGCCACAGATGTAGAGTGGAGCATTTAAGCCAACCCTTTCCAGGGAAACAGCATTGATCTCTGCTCAGTGCCTAACACACAATGAACGACCTTTTTCCAGGTTCCAAATGGGTTCTGGTGCTGAGAGGATAAGGAGGCCAAGTTGGCTTGTAAGGAGACCTGTAAATGTCTCTTAATAAACAAGGCTTAACTAGGAAATTTAAGGCAAGACCACCAGGGGCTCGTTTCGAATCACCTTCCCTGCTCAGGGAAGTTTATTAAAAGCAGATAAATGGAATTTTGTGCCACGTCTCATCAGATGATCTCAAACTGTTCCTGACTTTTACTTGGCTCCTGAGGGAATTCATCCTGGGTCTCTTAGCAAGTCATTCGCAGGACTGGAAACAGACGCCATTAGTCCCAATGACCAGTGATGGCTCTGTCTGGTCTAGCCTCTCTGCTTCTCCGAGGAACCTGGTTGGCTGATAGAAGAAAATCTTTTACTTTGAACCTGTAAAATGGCTCTTGATGTCGCTCAGTGGTCATACATGATATCACCATTCCTCGCTTATCTCCAAGTTTTCTAAACACACTCTACTACTAAGATCAAGATAGTCACATGGGTTGGGCTTCTAGGAATGAGCAGAACCAACTGGCTGAGCAGATAGTGACACTTCCATTTCCCTCCCAGACCTGCAAGGTAGTTGCAGCCACCAGCCATGAGCTTACAGAGCTGCCTTACCAAGCTGAACGGTACAGAGTAGGGTATTTCCCCTGTACTTAGATTCTTACTAGATGAGTTCCTGAAAGTAGCCACTAAGAACCCTTGTAGAAAGGGGCGGGGGGAGGGGGTTGCCCAGCCCTCTTCTAAGTTCATGGTTGTAGAATTTAGGTTATATGCCCGTTCAAGGCAATACCCACCCACAGAGAGTAACAACCCCAACTTCTTAAAAGAAAGACAAAAAATTGCACTGCAGGTGGAGGCACTCATATATCCCCAGTCAGTCTTAAATTACCATGTTTTCAGGATGATCCCTTTTTAATTAAAGTAAACAGTCACTAGAGTGGGAAGTCCAGTCTTCATTTTTACTTACCCCAAAGATTAAGTATTTTTAAGCCAGACTAATGTTTTTCCAGTGCCTAAGCCCATGGGTTTATTCTGATGACTACCGGCAGGAACTTTGTTAGCCCTTCAGATATGGTTCCTAGTTCTCCCAAAGCAAATGGAGGGGAGAGAGTAGTTTGGGTAAGAGGGATGCTAACATTAATTGAGCACCTACTATGTGCCGGGCTATTTACCGTATTTCCCCATGTATAAGAGACTTCCATGTATAAGATGTGCCTTAATTTTGGGGCCCGAAATTTGAAAAAAATGTATTACATAAAGTTATTGAACTCAAGTTTATTCATCATAAAATTCATACAACTCCTCATCACTTGCGGGAAATGCAAGTAAAAAAATCTACAACCACTGTATAAGATGCACCCAGTTAGGGCCGGCCGAGTGGCTCAGTTGGTTAAGAGCTCACTCAAGAGTTTGAGCTCTGAGCAACAGCGGTTCGATTCCCAGCCCAAGCTGAGCAGCCGCTGAGCTGCCAACAGGTGGCAGGATGGCTCAGCTTATTAAAAAAAAAACAAAACAAAACAAAAAAAAGATGCACCCAGTTATTAGACCCCAAAGTTTTCAAAAAAGGGTGCGTCTTATACATGGGGAAATGCGGTATATGTGTTCTCTTCTTTAACTTTCAAGGAACTATTATCTCTATAGAGGAAGGAAAAATTGACGCTAAAACAGATTAGACAAGTCTCCCAAGGTCAAATGGGTAGGAAGTGGTAGAGACAGGGTTCAAATCTAGAATATTATCTTTGTAACTGAGGAATCCACTAATTATATTCTTTATTTCTGCCTGGGAGATAGAACTTTTATGTTTCAGGCCTTGTTGATATTCAAATTTTAGTGGATTTCAGAGTCCAGTGCACAAAGTTGGCCATTTCAGTATGTACCTTCAAAAAGTGTATGCTATAGGAGGCTTCCTAAGGATGAGGACAAAATGCTGCCTGTCATATCTCTACAGAGTATAAAGAAAGTCTATTGGAAGCTCACAGTGGGTCTCATGCCAGTTCCTATGATAGGAGCCTAACATCTGAACTTGAGGAGAAAAGATGAATGTCAATTGTAGTTGGTTTGCTTTAAGGTCATGGTTAGGGAGTAAATGCTTCCCAAAGACATTTCCTTGCTGGCTGTGAGTGTGTGTATATTTGTACGCTAGGTCTCCAGTGATCATTTAACCATAGTGACTCCCTGAGGCTGACTGCTTTCTGAGTTCATTCTGAATATTGGTCAGGAGCTTGGAGTTCAGACATCAATGCTTGGAAAGTAAGCTCAATGTAATTACCCAGCTCTGCCCAGCTCATTTAAATGTAGTTCCTAAATGTTCACATAGTGCGGTGGGTCATAAATGCTTGGCTTCAAAATGCCTCAAAGTTCATCTGAAAACTTTTTCTCTTAGGGTATTTTTTCTAAGACACATGATTACTCCTAATTCTAAGAGACTGAAGCAACACTTTTCTCGGCAGTATGAGGACGGTAGGCGTTGTGGCTCACACCAGATGTCTGAGGGCTCAAGAAGACTCTGGAGTTGGCCTAACCCACTGCGTAGCAAGTTCAGAACAGGAAGATGAAAGGCAGGAAGACGGGAACTGAAACTGAGAGCAGGTGTTCAGCGCTTCCACTTTCTCAGAACAGTGCTGAGCACTCCAACAACTCGATCTAAAGCTTCATCACAGGACTTTTAGCTCGGGAGCTCAAGGCAGGAACTCTGTTAGCCCCTCCCACAGCCAAACCTTCCCCAGAGCCTGCCCAAGTAGTCACATCACCAGGGGCCTGCGAGGGCAATGGATCAACAGACACTCACCAATAAGCTCTTTAAGTTTAAGGAACGTTCCTTCTTGAGGATGACCAGGGCAGCCAGGCCACAGAAAGTATAGCCTCCATGGGCTTCCATCCCTGGCACCCCACCAATTCCACCTTCCCAATTTTGACACCTAGGAGAAGATTGAGAAAAGCAGAAAATGGGGTCAGTGGCAACCAATGAACGGCTGGGCTGAGTGGATGGGCTCAGGTGCAGGACCACCCTGGAGAGCAAAGAATGAGTTCACTTAGATTAAGGCTTAAACCATCACAACTACAAATGGGAAGATGTCAACTAAAAAAAGGAAACTCAGAAATAGTCTACTTATGTAACATAGTACCTCAAATCATTATTTTTTAGAAAGAAGTTATAAAATCATACATGTAGAATGAGAACCATCAGGTTAAAATAAAACTGGAAAATAACTGCTAATTCTGGTTATCTTTTAGTACAGGTCTATTGCTGACCATAGGGCAGAGTCAAAATCTGGCTACCATTCCCGATATTGATTCTTGATCATCCTCCGTCCCTGACACCACTGCCATCCAAACACACACACTCCCAAGTTTTCTTTCCACTGTATTTGGCTATGGGGAGCATAGAAATAGCTCAAGTTTGAAAGTTCTGATGAGTGAAGAATGCGCAACAGACATTTAAAATTTTTTCATTTTCTTAACTTTTCTTAACTTACCTTTGAAATTTTTTTTGAATTAAAAAAACTCAAACAGTATAAAAAAATGAAGAGTAAGTCTCCTGCCCACTCTGGCCTCCTGGTCTCTCTCAGCAGTGACCACTATCAGTTTCTGTGTCTCAGTCTCTCTCTCTGTGCAAACACACACACACACACACACACACACACACACACACACACACACACACACGCATTCACACACGCACACATACATGCATTCACACGCACACACCATATATATATATATGTTCCACTTTCCCTCCCTTTGGTTTTATGTGCATGGGAGCAACTTAGTAAAATTCTTTGGGAGTGTCTTCTAGCTAAACATAATGAATTGAACACAGGAGCCAGGTAAAATAAAAGCAAAGGAATTTAAGAAGGGATAAACCCACAGGGTAAAGAGCATAGGAGAGGCTATGAATAGAGACAGGAGATAACAATTTTGAATGCCAGAAAAGGAAAGGGAAGTAACTGACTTAACAGAATAGAGAAAGCTAAGCCAGCCCGAGAGTGGGGGTAGGGGCGGCAACAGAAAGCAAGGTGATTTGCTCCAGTGGAAGGTCCAGGGACTAGAAACACAAGCTGCCTCTACAAGTGGGATGCATTTAGACAAAGTTGATTGGTTGCAAATTTATGTAAGAAACGGTCAGACTTCCAGGTACCCAGCAAAAGTACTCCAACCCAGGAGAAGATGGGAGGATTCAGGAGTTTAACCTAGAGGATCTGAATTCCAGGAGATCCAGCACAGGCTGAGAGCGGGGAGGACACACTGTTCTGGGCAGGGGATTAAGTGAGAGTCTACAATCTGAACACAAACCCCCACAACCTCCTTCCTTACTAGTGTTTCACAAAGCTGGCTGTCAACTTCATACTCCAACCAGGAATATGGAAGAGGCTTCTCTAGGGAAACTCATATGCCCAAGAAAAACTCCTACAGATATCAATATATGAGAATTCCCCAATGAATGGCAGGATCCTAGCCCACCTGGCACACATAGCTCCTTGTCAACTTTTGACTCCTAAATATGAACACCAGACAGTTGAGTAGTCTCTAATATGAAAGAGACCCAAACAAACAAGCAAAAATAAACTGGAGGAAATAATGTAGGAAGCACAAGTAAACTTTTCAAAGTTGTATCTTCAGATAAAATATTATATGAAATAAAAACACTGCAAGTATAAAATATCCCTGAAACAAGAACAGGAGAGTATTCTAAATGAGGGAGAAATAAGCTCTGGAAAATTTAAAACAGAATTGCAAAAATAAAACTCAACAGAAGGATTAGAAGATAAAAGGTAAAGGAATCTCTCAGAAAGTATATAAGAAAGATGAAGAGATGGGAAATAGGCAAAAATGTTTGAAAAATTTGAGAACCAACTGTATTTATAGGATGGTATAAAAAGAGCCAATACAGAAAATGGAGGGGAAGAAATTATTAAAGAAATAACATAATAAAGTTTCTTGGAACTAAAGTATACGCAATCCCGGATCAAAGATACCTGCTGTGTGACCAACACAAAGAATGAAAAAATATCCATATGATGGTTCATCAGCATGAAGTTTCCAAATAGCAAGAATAAAGATTCTAAAAAGTTATAGGAAGGGGCACAAGGTGGGGCAGAGGAAAAGAGAAACAAAAGAAAAACACACAATGGATTGGGAATACAATGACATTGGGAAGCAAGAAAGCACAGTGGTTACCAAACAGGTTTTGGCCGCTTAATTTCTTTATATTTCAGCTTAATATCAAACCCAATATCCCACCATGTGACATATAAGGAAACAATGACACGGAGAAGACACAAAGCTAAAGTGGCAAAACTGGGATTCAAGCCCAGGCAGTAGGAGTTCCCCATTTAATAAGTACCTAACAATCCAACCCTGCAAATAACAACTTTACACTCTGGACAAAATACACAACAACAACTTCCCAAGGGCTCAGCAGACTGAAAAGAAGGCAGGCAGATTTGGGTGGGGATTTGGAAATTGGAGAGTCAGTCCCTTCCCTCCCCCACCCTATTCCTGGTTTTCCCTGAGAATGACGACAGTGACCCAGTGGTGGCAACAGCAGGTCAGGGGTCAGGGGCAGGCACCTGAAACTAAGAGAAAGCCCACCACTTTTCTAGCAAGAACCAGGCTGATAGAAATTGAGGAGGAATCCCAGAAAGAGGAAAGCCAGAGAAGGAAAACCCCAAATTCTGTTTAAACTTCACTCAAATTTCTACCTGACCCCTGAATCACACAGGCATTGGGCAAACTGAAAGTTGCTTCTGACCACGAACTTTTCTGAGAGCTGAGCTACTGCAGGTGTGACCATCTGCAGTTTGAGTCTAACCAAGTTGATGGCCTTCTAAAACAAAAGCATCAGCACTCTTTAGAGCAATCTAACAGAATCCAGTCTCTACAACAGAACATCACAATGTCCAAGATACAATCCAAAAATTACTTGACATATGCAGAATCAGGAAAATGTGACATACTAACTCCAAGATATTCAGATGTTAAAATCACCAAACAAGTATTTTAAAGCATGTCTTATAATTATATATTTATTCAGTGAAGAAAAAGACACTTTCAATTAATAAAAAGATGAGAAATCTCAACTGAGCAACAGAAAGTATAAAAAAAGAACCAAACCCAGGCAATCTAGCTCAAAAGCCTATATACTCTCGATCTCTAAACTATAGCTACCTCCCTACTGAGTATTACATAGTAAATGTAATTTACTATGTTGATTATTATTGTCAGGTTTTTTAACAGTGACACTGGGAGCCAGAAGATAATGGAGCGATGCTTGAAAACGCTGAAGGAATAGTTTCCAATTTAGAAATTGCTAACTAAATAAACTGTCAATCAAATGTGAGACTAGAATAAAGATACATGTAAAATCTTAAAAATGTATCACCCAAGTGCTCTTTTTGGGATCTACTGGAGTATGTGCTTCTTTAAAATGAATCAGTAAACCAAGAAAAAGGAAGACAGGACTTCAACAAAGGAGAGAGGTGAAGTGAATTTCACGCTGAAAGGAAGCTTCTGGATGCCTGCTGTGCAGCAAGCCGAGAGCAACCTGTCCAGGATGAAGCAGGAGGGGCAGAGAGCTCCAGGTGGGATAACTCAGAACACACACATGCACGCACACACACATGTACACGCACACAAATACACACACACAAAAGAGAACTGATACATTACCGGAAGTGTTTGACTGTATCGGGAATAATTTTATAACTCTGGCAGAAAATCTGGGAACGAATTCATGATACATACATTGTTAAAAACGAGGTAATGATTAATCCTAGGAAAATAAAAGTTATATGAAAAAGTAAATGTGATCATCGTGTATCATCTGGTTTAGCTGTAAATTGTATTTTCATAGTACTAAGTACTACTTTAATAAAAATAAAAATGTAAAAAATAAAACAATAGTTTAGATATCATTTCATAATAGTACATGTGTATCTACTATACCTTTTGCTTTCTTTTTTTAAATTATGAAATATTTGAAGCATCCAAGAAAGTATAGCAAATAATATATAGAACACAGGTGCATCTAACACCTAGCTTTGATTTAACCACGCACATCGCAGGGTTTGGTTTTTTTTAATATTTTAAAGAACTGAACAATTACAGATACAGTTGAAGTCTCCTGTGGAGATGGGCAGACCTCCCCTATCTCCTGTCCTTTGCTCTCTCCCCAGATGGTAACCACTATCCTGAAGTTGGTGTTGACCCTTCCCATGCATGTTTTCATATTACCCCGTTTGATTCTTCTCATAAGCAATAGAGAGCTGTTTTGCATATTTTAAAATTTTTAGTAAATATGCTGATCAGCATGTTTTCTTTAACATCCTTTGTTTTTTACTTAACATTGTTTTTGAGATTTATCCATATTGATACATATAGCTCTAGTTAATTCACTGTAACCGCTATATCATATTCCTGTGTGATTATACCAAAACTTACGTATCCACCTCATGCTTATGAACATTTAACCTGTTTCCAGCTTTTTATAACAAGTCCTATGTTTGTCTCTCTCATGCATGTGTGTGTGAGTTTCTGTAGGAGTGGAATTGTGGGGTCATCAGCAAGGGCTGCTTTGAGATATTATCAAATTGCTCTCCAAACTGGTTAAATCCATTTAGACTCCCACCAGTTACTGTTTACCCAAATTTTTGATCCTTGCCAATCTGGCATTAAAGAAAGTTTGGAAAAAAGAAAACTTGTGAAGTAGTTTTGAAACGCACAATGCCACAACCCTAACATCTCTCTTGTCATTTTATCTTCCCTTCCAGTCCTTTTTCATTTTCTTTTCTTTTTTTTCCAGAAGTCTTGACCACCTGCTGTCTCAGAGGCCAGGACAAACCCCAGCTCCTCTCACCTTGATATCCATTCAGCAGTGCCCTCAAAGAGGTCTGGAGTGACGATGTTGGTCAGAGAAGCTACCGACGCGGCACAGTATGCACTTCTGGAAGGACAGAAATAGAGGGGTCAAGTGTCAAGCTTTGAGGAAGAGCCTAAATAAGGCTTGCTGAACTTCTTGGGTGGATTGCTGCCTTTGCCTCGTAAGCTGTAATCACCTCCTGTCCTGACTCTTGGCACACGGTCAGTCCTCCCAGGTCTCCGACTGAGAGGTTTGACATTCTATTTGGATAGAGTTGCTCACAGCATGGCTTCAGTGAAAGAACATGACATTCTATGCTCCCTACCTCCACATGGTCCAATCTACATCAGAAGAAATAACAGCCACATCAAGTCATGTCAAAAGTGAATTTAGCTCTTCTTTCAAAGACCTATGATGGTTTCCCAAGTTCCACGGTGTCATTCAGATATTTCTGATATGCTCATTCATTCAGATGTCAGCACTGTTTTAGATCCAGGATTTCTGTCTGTTTATGGCACAGATGCATTAAAGGTTAACCATATTTTTTCTGCAGCTAACACATTACAGTGCAGATCACGAGACCCTAATGGCTGCTTAGGTCAGACAAGAGGGACAGGAATAGATAAGCCCACTGAAATATGTCCCTTAGGCCTCTAGAGAGAGAAAAGAGCTTTAATTTCAAGTGCCCCAACAGTACAAACACACGCACTTTTAAATGAAAAAGAAAGGGCACATCTTTTTATTTTTTTAATGTTATCCTACTAGGTTTGGAATAATTCTTGCCATTTCATCCTGCCAGCCCTCAATCTTCTTAGGACACATTTTATTTTGGCCTCTCCCTCTATTATGGAACACATCTATATGCTATCTTTTCTTCCCCACTGTGGTCTTTTCAAATATCCAGCATCTCAGCTCCATTCTATGTTGAAGAAAACAATTCTAATTCTGCTTACAAATCCCTTTTCTAAGGCCTCCAAAGAAAGAGAGAAGGGAGAAAAGAGAAGGGTCTACTTTCCATATTATTCATTACAGACATAATACGAAGCCACATGTACTGAGGTATTCCACAGAAATCTCTGCAGAAGCTGCGAGCATTATTATCCTACCAGCGTTTTTATCAGCCTGCTCACGCTGGCCAGAGGCACAGCAGAGGTTGAGTTATGCCAGCAGGCATCAGAAGCATGCAAGGGGCCTATGTGCCAAACGTTATCATCTACCAAAAGCTAACTTCGAAGGTCTAATTTCCTTCAGGTCTTGAGCCTCTCAAAGGGGTTCAAGTATTTGCTCTTGAATCCTAATGTAACCTCTGAGGTAGGGAGGTGGCCCAACAATGTAGTTTGCCTCTTATAAAGGGGAGAACTGAGAGGTGATGCCAGAAGCCACTAGTCCTAGATCTTACAATGAGATGGGGAGGGAACAAAAGACATCTTTTGGGTGCAATTTCTTCCTCTCACCCTCTGTCCAGTCATCACGTCTCTCAAATTTGTCCACTACTCTTCATCCACATTGCTGTCACCCAAGTCCAAGTCACCGTTACCTGGATCAATCTCCTCTGGGCTTTACTAAAACACTACCATCTATTCATTGCAACTAGGAAACTAATAAAATACAAGTCAGATCACATCACTCTCTCCTTAAAACTTCCCATTGCTCTTAAACTCCAGGCTTCTAAAGGTTTCAGGGCCCTTCAGTGTATCCCCAGCCTGTTCTTCCAGCCCCAATTCCTGTCCTTCACTGCCCACCAGGTCCTCTACACGTCCTTCTTTCTTGAACACAATCTATGCTCTGTCACCTATGTATGTGATAAAATGCTAAAGCGATTTTACCATGGTTTGTTTGCTTTTGCCTAATAATCTCAGGAAGTTTTAAAAAACTTAATTTCAAGACTGTGTATATGTGGTTGGAATATCTATAGAACAGGCATGAAAACGTAGTGACTGTGAACGGAAAATAAAATAGTTTTACCTTCTCCTTAAGAAGCATCAACACAGTACTGTGCTGCTTTTCCTCAATAGTTATATTGGCTTCGCTTCCCTACACAGTGTCACAAACCAGACAACAGGCCCAAAATGGAGTTGCTTATGCTAAACCAATACTTAATTACAGTTTTGGCTCTCCCAGAAATGGAATCTTAAACCAACCCATCAAGAATCGCCTGAGCAGCACTAGCTAGGTAGTCTGCCTGATAAACTCCTGCCATGCCCTAAAAGAAAGTAACCTTGCAATAACCAACCCGCTTTTTTGTCTGGTATAGCTTCCTTGTTCCTGCTCCCTTTTGCCTATAAAAGTCTCTCATTTTGTATAGTTCCTTGGAGCGCCTTTCTATCTGCTAGATTGGATGCTGCCTGATTCAAATCAATTTTTGCTCAAATAAACTCTTAACATTTTTAATGTGCCTCAGTTTATCTTTTAACAACAGATAACTGAGATATTGTGGTACACTAAATATGTATTAATATTTGGTCTGCTCCCAAGTTCCTGGCACAGAGCTCCTAAAACCCTTGGAATTTTCTGAGTGTGATAGGAGAATCTTTTGTATTTGATAACAAGCCCCATTCAAGCATACCTGAGTTTGCTAATGAGGTGACTCCTGGAGGATGGGGGCTGGTGGCCTGAGGAAGAGCTATGTGATTAGAAGGTTGGAACTTTCAGCCCCACTCTCAAGAGGAAAGGGGCTAGAGACTGGGTTAATCACCAATGGCCAATGATTTCATCAATCATGCCTACATAATAGAGCCCCCCCCATAAAAATCCTAAATAAAGGGGTTTGGGGAGCTTCTGGGCTCGTGGACATATCCACGTGCCTGACAGGAGGGTGGCATATCCCAACCTCACAGTGACAGAAGTTCCTGTGCTCTGGACACTTCCAGACTTCACCCTATATACCTCTTCATCTGGCTATTAATTTTTATCCTTTCTAATACCTTTAGAATAAACCATTCTGTGGGCCACTCTAGCAAATTATTGAACCTAAGGATGAGGGCATGGGAACCCCTGATTTGTAGCCAAGTCAGGCAGAAGTGTGGGTTACCTGGATACACAATAGTTGTGATCAGCGTCTGAAGTGGGGGCAGTCTTGTGGGACTGAGCCCTTACCTGTGGTGTCTGTCCTAACTCTGGGTAGTATCAGAATTGTTTAATATGAGGGAAAAAACCACACATTTGGTGTCAGAAGTGTCGTAAGTAGAGAATCAGTTTTTCTGGTAGAGAACTAGTCTAATTTTTTGGTCTGAACAGACAGGTCACAGATAGAAGAAAATCCTTCACCAAAGGCCTCTGCAGCCTGGTTACCTGTTTTTATCTGCAATGTGTTTTATGCTCCACAACGTTCACGTTTTTTTGTTTCCCCTATATTTCCCAACCAATGGTTAAGCCAGAATGTTGTGTAGAAGCAAACACATTTACAAATAGGAAATAAGATGGCTTTGATACAGAAACCTCATAAAAAATAATATTTCCTAGATGAAGTAATAAGAATTTGGTATAAAATCTCAATGATCTACTGCTGTTGAGAAATGACTTATTCAACGAATTCCCCATATGCTTCATAGGCAATCTCCTGCCATCTTAGTAAGCTACTTGCTAGGTACATCAGACAATTCTTGAGTAAAATAATAATTTTGAGCCAACTGGTTCCAATCAGTTAATGCAGGTCTATTTCGCTGCACTCCACTAGCCCGTAAGGGTTTCTGCACCTCCCAAAGCAATTCTCACACAGGTGTTAAAAGTCTCATGATTTCATCAAATTCATTCAGAAAACATTTACTAAAAACATTTACTATTGGGATTCCTTCTCCCTTATCCCAGAGAGATGAAAGATTATATGACACTATATAATTATTATATATTAGTTTTCATTTTATACCAAATAAACTTGTTTTTAACTTTTAAAACAAAAGTATTTGATTTTGTTTGTCTTACTTATATTTTGGCATTTACATAAAAGAAGCTGAGTGATAATGACACTTGAGGACATCTGTATCATATCTGCGATGATTATGACACTGTGTCACCAACACGTTATTCTGCGTGTCATTCTGTGACAAAGCAGCAGCTTCGCCATGTTGTTCCTTGGGTTTGGCAGATAAGCTCTAGAATCCACTGATGCAGCTGCCTGGGAGAAACCCCACTCACCTCACATCCACCTCACCTCCAACGTGCATGAGAAAAGAGCCATCAGGTTGTTTCAGCGAGTATAGATACTGAAGAAGTTTCTCTCTGAGAAACAAAGGGGAGACAGGCAGGAGACGGCAATGGTCAGTGCAGTGTCAGCAGGCAGGGAGCCCTTCTGCGTTTCCATCACTGCTGGCTTGGGCTGTACCTGTTAATGACGTCATAGGCCTCCTCGGTGCCAATGATGCATAGTGCATTGACTGCCGCATACGTGGGTGCAAGGTGTGGGTGCTGACCAGGGCCCCCTCCAAATCCACCTTCTGGGCTTTGACACAGCTCCAGGAAATGGCATACACTAAGTACACAGCCAAAAGAAAACAAAACAAAGTCAGAGAGCATTCATTTCAAAACACCAAATTCCACCAGAGTCCATGCCTTTCCAAATGCGCCCCCCACCCTGACCCCCCCGCACACACTCCTGCCTCTAAAGGAAAAAAAAACCCTCTTCTCCCACCTATTGAATATATACTGAAAACAGTTAACCCCTGCAAAGGGCCTGACTCTACCCTGCTATCATCAGTATTGTATGCCTTCCTATCTGAGTTTTATACTTAAGCACTTGCTTAGTCGTGCAGTTGTGAAGCAAGGAACATAAGGCCGGGCGGAAACAGACTTTCACAGAACTGGGGGTAAGTGTCATGCTTCTTGACCAAATCCTTTCCATACTTTTCACTCAGTCTGCCACCTTAAATCTGTGGTACCAGCCTCCTTCTCCATGCCTTTGGGGTACCTCCCCAAATTCTGCCTAAAACCGTAGTGGCGCTCACTGCTTCTTCCTACATGAACCACCCTAGTCTAGACCCATCGCCTAGGCCTACCAAGAATATTGAAAGAGATGCCTTCTCACTTCCATTGGTGCCTAAGCCCTAGCAGGCTAACTGATGTTTATTCCTGCAACTGACAAGAAACAAACTATGGAGTCTGCCTCTGTGGTTAGGAGAACCATGCTCACCTCAATTGTGGCAAACTTAAGTCCTGCTGACATCATATCACAAAGAATGCATCTCTGTCTGTGGGTTCTGGGAGAATTTTTCACAGGAATCCACAGAGGCTCCGGTGCCCTCACTGTTTGGTGAGGGTGAGCCTTCAAGCCCCTGCCCCCAAGCCTGGCTTCAGTTTAACCAGAAGTTACATTTCCTTGGTTCAGGTGAAACCAAGAATGTAACTTCTGTTTGACCAACGTCCTCTGAAAGTTCACCAGAAAGGGGTGCCCTGGGAAAGTCCTGGTTATTAAGTTGTGTCCCCAAGACTCAGCAGGGATCACAGCTTTCTATGAGGACAGGCTTCCATTTAAGAGAACAGGTGCACATCTATGTCCTGGTAGTGCCCGTGCCCAGGTCACCTCCTTTTCCTAGTCTCTTTTATCTCATTCTTTCTTCTCTATGGCTTCCAGGGACCACATAGAATCTAGTTAATCTCCGCTAAGACACAGTTTGTTACTGCTTCTCCACAACATATTTGATTACTTTTGATTTCAGATCATCCATTATCTGGGCAGAGCCAGCAATAGAAAATGCTGCTGACTTGCTGTTGGAGTCCTGAAATTGTCACAGTTCAAACACAGTACAGTCACTTCTATTTGCACCTAAAATTTTTCTGTAGGAAACACCAGGATTGAACCCGAAATGGATAATCAGAAGAAAGGAGAGGGTTCTGTGGACATTTTTAATAGCAATTAGTTTTCATAGAGAAAATGAGTTTGTTCCTGACATATGTTTCAGAGCTCCATTGATTCTTAGCGCATTTCCTGGGGATAAGTAGCTAATAAACTCATGCGCTAGCAACAGCTGGCTGCACTAACGTACAAAAAGTGTTCTACGTCACAAAAGCAAAAGGTTTTAGCACATTAAAGAAAAGAGTCACGTAGTTAGTTATCCATTCCCTTTCCCAGCTCCTGACAGAATCATGTCAAATGAAACTATCCTGACCCGGACTCTCGAATGAGCTGGGGTTGGAATGCAGCAGACACCTCCAAGTCATGCCTCCACGCCAACCTCCCTCAGCTGACACGCTCCCTCTGACTGCCTGTGCGGCTAGGCTGGGGAACGAGGACCAGGGCTTTTCTGAACTCTCAGACACTTCCGTATCACGGAACATTCTGATCCAGAGAAGCCTGAAGGAACTGGCAAGTTGACCATGAAGCTACCAGCTGTCATCAGCAGAATTCTTAGCAGTTCTGAAAACCAAGATGTGAATGATACTTCTAGCTATCAAAAGGGGGAGAAAAACTTATCTCAGAGACCAGGAATTCACCAACTAATAATAAGAAAGTAAAAATCACAAGCAGGAAACATTGTACAAATACCAAGAGTGGCACGCTTTGTAAAAAAACAAGTATTCATAAATCAGTCATTTAGTCATATGACTAAAAGATCTAGGAGATCAATTTTCTTTCAGGTCGGCAAGACATTTTATTCTAGGTTATGTGACAATTACCAACAAAGTAGGAAACTATCTTCTAGATAGGAGGGATTTTCTAATCCAAAATATGTGTATCAGAATCATTGGCGAGCTAGTAAAGAATACACAGAGGCAGGACTGCTGAATCAAGAAAGAGCTTGGGCCTCTATATTTTTATCAAATTCCCAGGTGATTTGGATATGCACAAAATGTGAGTATCACAAAAATGTGCTGTGCAATTAGAATTACTTGGGAATGTTTTTAACAAACCCCAATGCCCAGGCCACACTGAATACCAATTAAATCAGAATTGCTGAGCTTGGGACCCAGGCAGCAATAGTTTTTAAAACTTCCCATGTGACTCCAATGTACAACCAAGTACCAGCACTTTTTAAACTTGAGCATGCGTCGAAATCACGTCGGATCATGTTAAAAAGCAGACCTAATTCAGTAGAGCTACATGGGCCTGAGACTCTGCATTTCCAGCAAGCTCCCAAGCGATGGCAACGATGCTGGTCTGGGGATATCACATTTTGGGGAGCAATGCTATAGATCTGCACTGTCCAATAGGTAGACACACTAGCCATTTAAATTTTAACTTAAATTAAATTTAAAATTTAGCTCCTTCGTCACACAAGCCACACTGCAACTGCTCAATAGCTACATGTCGCCAGAGGCTACTACAAAATATAGAACATTTCCAGTATCATGGAAAGTTCTACCGGGTACCACTGCTCTATCCTTCAACTATTGAAGAGTATGTAAAGCTTATAAGAGAGTCAAGTTCAAAGCAAGAGTATCAATGTTTTACTGTCAGCATTACGAGGAGTTTACTCAGACTTTTAGGTGATAGTTGAGGGCTGACCTAATTGGTTGATTCTGGACATCACCATCACCAACTTGGATGAAGGACTGAAAAGTATGTATAGTGAAGAATACAGTAACACAAAACGAGCATACCTCCAAGGTAAGACTTCAAGTCCAGAATAATATAAAACAAATCAGAAGCCAATAAGAATAAAACAAATGAAATAGGTACAAGTAGCAAGTAATATGCATACTTAGGGGAGGCAGGAGTGGGGAATGAGTAAAATATATAAACGTTAAGATGTGAAAACAGCAGAAAAAGCACCAGAGGTTAGGGTCCATGAGTCGTGAACAACAATCACAAAAACTCTAGTAAAAAGCATCATAAACGCAGTAGTGGTCAGAATTATATTTGGCTCAAGCCTCCATTTTTCAACTCAAAGGAAGTTCAGATTAGAGTTGTAAAAATGGCTAAATATAAAAATTATTAAAATATCACAGGCAACCACAGCCAAATGAGAAAGCTACCCAGCAAAATGACTCAAGTATACAAAAGGTAATTATACAAACTTTCTGGTAAATAAACAAACATTGAAACTAATTTGAAGCAAGATGATTTTAGGTTAGATTTAAGAAAAACTTGAGCACCAGGATAGGTCACCACAGACAGATTTAAGGCCTCGGATAAGTCACCAAGATTACAGCTTTGGAAATAGGAATGGTCACCCTTGAGCAGAATGGCTCAGGAAGTAGACGCAACTGCAAGATGAAAGAGGTAACATCAGGCTTCTTCTGTTACTAAGTCTTTCAAATTCATACCTACAAGGGAGAGGAAAACTCCTTTCCTAGGTAGAAACAGCCATGAACAGGTGAAAGGCAAGGCTCTCTGGTTGATTCCAGGCCAGTGCTGCCTGTAGGGTGTGACAGGTACCTGACTCGATAAAACACTGGCAGTCCTCTGCATGCTACTGTTTTGGATGTGTGATCAAATCTAAGGTTGGTTATTTTAGAGTAGGATTTCTCCACGTGGGTAGTTTTGACATTTGGGCTGGATAATTCTTTGTTGTGGGGACTGCTGTATGGAAGATATTTAGTAGCAGCATCCTTGGTCTCTACCCACCTGGCGCCAGCAGCAGCTGGTCCAAGTGTACCCAGAAGACAAGGCTAGATAAGGTGTCTTCATCAAAAGGTTAAAAAAAAAAACCAGACAAATTATATTTAAATTTAAAAATTAAAAATATTTAAGGAGTTATTCAGGGAGAAGCTACTAATAACCTTTTTTGAAAGGGAAATAAAACATTGATACACGAAAATTTTAATTTAATCTTTGGAAAAACTGTATAAGCAGGAAAGTCCTAAAACAATTTTTCAAATTAAAGACAATTTTTTAGATCTTACACAAAATAAAAACCTAACTTAACAGTGCAATGGTCTCCCTGTGATTTTCATTGTACTCTGTGCATTTCATTCAAGTGGCTTTCAATAACAAAGCATGGGATTCTGATTAAAGGCCCTGCCTTCAGTGCTAAAATCATTCACAAAGCAAACGTACTTAGTCTGGCTCCAAAATGTTAATTTTTAGGTAAACACGTATGCTTTTGTGGGTACAATCTCTTAAGAGAGGCAAGCTAAACTCCTACCTACGATTATCTGATTCTGAAAGGTTTGACACCAGCAGTAAAAATTTGGCCTTGCTGGCTTCGGTCAGCAGTCACACTGGCTGACAAAAGTAATTTTGTCCACTAGAGGGAACTCAGCTTGGCTTATAGTTCCCTAAACAAACAGAAGCACAACAGGAGAACAAAGTAGGAAAGAGAGAGAAATGTTCTTGTGTATGTGTTGCTCACTAGGTGAAAGAGTAGAGAGAGAAGAGGGCATGAAATAATAAAACTCCAGAGCTAAACTCAGCCTCCTCGGTCATCTTAATATTTGTAAAGAGAAAGAAAAAGAATCTGAACACATTTTCAAAGCATTTCTTTTCCCTGTGCAAAATAAATAAAAAGGCAATATCCTATACCAGGTAGTCTTAAATAAAAAAATAAAAATCCCCATATTTTTGTAGAAGTCATTAAGATTTCTCTGTATCTTACTAAAAATAATTTATTTCCTTATAGGTCAGAGCTACTAGGCTCTGTTCATAATAAATATTATCTTCACCTAGAATTAATTGCCTGCTAGGCACAAAACATAATACATTATTATTGGAAAGTCTAAGTAATTGTTTAAAAGTCTGTTAAATCAATGCCCAGAAGAACCATAGGTAAAGCTTTTAAGGCAGCTTTGAAACAAAAATTCTCAGTTATTAATTATCAAGTGGTTCTCGAAATTAGAACAAATCAGTTTTTCAGTTTTAAAATATTCTTTTAATTATAAAACAATGAAAGTTCATTGTAGAAATTTTTAAAAATGCAAATAATCTTAGAAAAAAAATCACCTTTAACTACACTATCCATAAGTAACTACTACTGTGTGTCTAATATTATATATATATATATATATATATATATATATGCTATATATGTCCTCGTTTTTCCTATGAATATAATCATCTATATTTTTAATCTATCAAAGTAAAATCTTTTAAACTAAGTTTTGTGCTTAAATCATGAACATCTCTATATAAATATACACATTTTTATATACAAATATATACCTTTATATATAAAATTTTTACTGAGGTATAATCGACATTAGTTTCAGGGGTACAACATAATGGTTTGGTATTTGTATAAACTGCAAAATGACCACCACAATAAGTCTAGTTAACAACTGTTAACTTTTTAATTTTTAAATGGCTGCACAGTGTTTCATTGTATGTGTTGCACCATAACTTACTTAAACTTCAAGTACACTTTAAAGCATCCCCTACTGTTTGTTGCGCTTTAGGTTGTCTCCAATTGCTCAGTGTGAAAAGCCCGTTAAAAGGGATGCTCTCTTCCTATCTGATGTCGCCACAAAAGCTGCTCTGACACTTATTTCCTCGGAAAAGCCTCACCTTCAAAATACCAAGTATACAACCTAGAAAAAACTCAAAGTCGATGTTGACCCAAGGAACCCCCTTATCACTATCTTCCCACCTCAAATCGGTCGATGCCCTCCCCTAGGGGACATCTGTACTTCACTCTCACAATCCCCGCCATTTCCTTCTTCTCTCATATATGACTGTCCCATTCCCCTACCGAACACCCTGAGTGTATATGTGTGGGGAGTAGAAACTTCCCAAACAATCCACAACCCCCAACTGGTATTTGAAAAACACATGGGCCTTTATTTTAACAATTAAATTCCTGTTACTGCAGAAACTGGATCCAACTCTACTTCCAGGGCTAGAAGCAACTAGGCCGGCAGCAGCATCACAATGAGGAAGACAATGCATATTTTCCCTCTCCCTCAGAAAGCATGTATACATCACAAGGGTTAATGGCCTAATTCTTCATTATCTTCCCTATCCACATTCATCACAAGACACCCTGCCCAGGAAGGCAAGAATGAGAGGTTATTGTTAAGACAGAATGAATGAGACAATGTGTGGTTCTGTTCTTCTGACCTGACAATATGACCCATGGCACTGTGGCCAGGGAGGGGCACGGCCAGCCTCTAAGCATCCTGGTACAACCACCTCTACGTGCTGTGGAAAAACGAACCTGGCGCAGGGGCCTCCCCACCCAGACTCCTTCCTGTCTCTCAGGAGCACCAGGGGGTGCGGTGGATAAGCTCAAGTGGCTGCCGAGGGGACGTGCTGTCTCTCAGTGAGAACTGGGGCATTGGATCCCGTTCCCTGCTGCCCTTTCTTCCCCCAGGCACTCCTAAGACTGGACTGACGATCAGTTTCTTCTCCTTTAAAATATAAACCGTGATGAGCTTCTAAGGATGAGGTGCCACGCAGAGAAGACCATCTGCACCTGCAGTTTGGGAAGAGTCTTAGTTGCTTAGATCTCTAATCAGAAGAAAACTGTGAGTCATGCATTTGCACACTGAGACAGTCACACATCTGGTGCCATCAAGAGCTACGCTGTCCTCCGGGGACTGGTTGAGGGGGCTTCTGTGGAGGCGTTTATGGAAGGCAAAGGCATTTCTGTTCACTGGGTGGGCACATGCCTCCCCACAGAAACGATTCAAGTGCATCCTGTGCTTTCTGGCAAAATCATGTCCTCAGAGTTGATGATGAAGGCTTTTCTCAAAGACCAGAACAAGAGCAAAAGAAAAGGCCACAGAAGAAATCGGAATCCTTCTCTTGGGAGTTCAAAGTCCTTTTCTATCCATGACCTTACAATAGGCTTCTAAAGTGGAGGAGTTTCAGGAAGTTTCTGAAGGTCAAGAGAAGGGCATGGGTTTCTCGGAAGCACTCTTGTGATTTTCAATTAAAATAAATAAAACAGAAATAACATAGAAAGGAACCCAAATTCAAAATACAATTCCAGGGAACACACTAGGTTCCCCGAAGCCAGACTCACTCCGTCGCCACCATCTGGGGGGTGGGCTCGTCAAGCAGTTCCAAGCTGTGCAGGATCCAGTAGCAGAGCCATGGGCGGCTGGCATCCAGACACTGCGAAAGGCACAGGGGAGAAAACACACCCCTCATTCAGAGTCATTCCAAGTCACTGCTGACAAGGAGACATCTGTCTCACTCCTGGCAGCCTGGCAAGGGGGAGGAGGGCACCCTCTGAAAATCAGTGAATGAAGGACACTTTGCTTTGTGGCCCTAGCCAGCAGCTAAAATAACCATATGTGAGAAAAGGGCAACGGGACAAAGAAGTTCACCTTGAACCCATTGGGTCCTTCCAGGACAGGCACCGAAGGAAGGCTGAGCAGAGGACTTCTCACATACGAGGAAGTCAAGTGCTACTGTTTTCTCACTGTAGACCCATGGATATGTATAATCTCAGAAAAGGGTTTCCTGTAACTCATTCACTGATTAATTACACGTTTAATAAGTATCTACTTTGGGTCCTGCACTGTATTAAGCATTGGGGTGCAATAATGAATAAAATTCAGTTCCTATTCTTGACATGCTTGGTATATAAAACGTGTGTAGTTATCTGTAGAGGAAGAGAGCACTAGACAGACACATAAGTACAAATTACCTATGTCTTTCTCGAACAAGGTGGAAGAGAACACACGTGTACCTACACCTTCATAAATGCTGTAGCAGGCAGAAACACAGTCCTGAGGGAACACATGGAAGAGACAGACTAACTCTGCTTGGGGGCACTGGGAAGGGCTTCCAAAGTGTCATGTGAACCGAATTTGATCCTAATTCAAGCCATAAACATGTATTGAGCATTCAAAGCTAGGCAGGGGTTCAAAAGTTGTACAGGTTAAAAGTACATAAATGAGGTCCAGAGAGATGAACTTTTTCCAGATTATACAAAGACAGTAAATGTCAGAGATGAGACAAGAACCCAGGTTTCTGGACTCCCAAGCCAAGGCTCTTTCCAGGGGCCCGTGCTACCCTCCTCATAAATGAGCCATGGCTAGCTCGTCACGTGGGGGCAGTCGGTGTGGTCACCAAAGACACTGCTGTAGATTTGGCCTGCTTGGGTTTGAGTCCCAGATCCTCCTCTTACTTGCTATGTGACTTTGAACAAATTATTTCATTTTGCTGTGCCTGTTTCCTTATCTGCAAAATATAGACTCACCTACCTCATGGAGTAGCTGTGAGAATTAATGAGATAATACACGGTAAGCTTTTAGCACATGGTTCAATGAATTGTTAGCTGGTAATTGTATTAATTGTATCAGGGCTGACTGGATCCTAACCATCGAGGATTCAAGCCCATGGATGTGTTCTGCTTGCTGCCCGTAGTGTTTTGTTTAATTGGAATTGGTTGCAACATTTAAGCATTGGGAGATTCACACAGAATCTAGATTTCTGGCTTCATTTAGAAGAGAGAGAGAGAAAGGGCCGGCTGAGTGGCTCAGTTGGTTAAGAGCTCGCTCAAGAATTTGAGCTCTGAGCAACAGCGGTTCGAGTCCAGCCCGAGCTGAGCAGCCGCTGAGCTGCCAACAGGTAGCAGGATGGCTCAGCTAAAAAANAAAAAAAAAAAAAAAAAAAAAAGAAGAGAGAGGGAGAGAAAGAGAGGGAGATATCTGGCAACCCTGGTCTGCATTCCTGGATGGCAGCAATGGGCAGGAACAGAGTAAAAACATGGGGTCTCTGGTTTGCCTCAGTCTCCCCCCAGCCCACTTCTCTTATTTATGCTACCTGCTTGGGTCTATAGGCATTAGATTTGGTCAATCCCTATAGTAAATAATCAAATATACAACCCCAAATAAAAAGCAAATTAAGAGCAGGCTGCTCTGTGTAAAGTGGGGCAGGAAGGTTGGAGCCCTCCTGCTCACAATTCACCCTCTGCCTGCCACTCAGCCCCATTGCCAGCATCCCTCCCCTCCTCCACCACCACTGCCCCACCACCCCCTCAGCCCCCCTGTGGAACCCTAAGGATCTAAGGAATGTGATTTTTACAGTGGGCATGTTGACAGTGTTGAGCTGCAGTAGTATTCTCTGGAATTTATATACTGATCCTTTGGCCAGCATAGGAATTAGATCAGCTTATAGGGCAAAGGGTTAGGGATGAACGAACAGGTAACTGCCTCTTAGCTAGCTGTCAAGGGGTGTCTAGAAGAAAGCACATGAACCCCTCAGCCGTGATCTAATGGAGGAAGAACACCACCCCATCTAGAGTGCTCCAAGATCTCTGAGGGAGGACCACACAGGAAGAGACCTGGCTCTGCCCTTTTAGAAGTGGGAGTCCAGCTCTGTGGGACGTGGCTCTTGTGTGCCTGGTTCCTGCCAGAGCCACGTGGTACAATGAGTGAACCTGCAAGAGGTCAGGCTCATAAGTCTTTTACGTTCAGATAGAAAAAGGGGAGAAAGATCTGGCTGGTAATTTGATAGAAAGAGCTCCTGGACAGTGTATTTACCTCATAGGCATCTGTCAGCTGTCGAAGGCCTCTTTTCAGGTAATGAAAGTGCTTCTCCCTCTGCAAAATGAGCCTGAAAAGACAAAAAGCTTGTAAACGTATTCTAATAGCTTATGCTTCCACCCCGCTACAGAACACATGTGCACATAAATGTGCACACACACGCATGTGCACACACACACTCTCAGTGTCAGCACATCCCCCCACTGTCAATGAATGGATAACCAGCAACTTCTGTAGCTCCCAAGGGCGGCTAAGCCAGAGAAAGGAGGCCAGCATCTGAGTGTCCCTAAAGTGTCTGAAAATGTACTGGCAAATCTCAGTGAGATCCTCTTCATGGCGGGTGACCTTAGGCTGAGTAAAAATCCACAATGAACACACACAGCCAGGCAGTGTGACAAACCACCCAGAAAGTTCCTCCAGGGTCTAACTGCAAACAGCTATCTCATGGCTCCCCACCCTGTAAGCAATTTAGATCTGAGTCTCGCCACGTCCCCGACTTGGTTAGCCTCCGTCATTTCAATCATTTCTTCTGGGGTCACTTCTCTGAGGTTTGTAGTTTGTACCCTGCCTGCCCCTCTGTTATCTGTCTATGATTTCCTCCCTTAAATTCCACCTCCTACATGACCCACAGCCCTGGCCAGAAAACTGTCAGTATTCTGCAGCCCGTTGCTCTCCTTGGCACTGATGTCAGCAACACTGGCTCTAGGACGGAAAGCGGCCGCCATGGCCACCTGGACAGGCAGGCGAAGTACAGGGGCTGTGCTTGGTGCTCGGTGTGGCAGAAGAGCCTGTGTGACTGCGGAAGGAAGGACAAAAACAGAATGGCAAGGCATCCGCTGTGCTTATCGATTTCAGAAATGGAAGAAGAACCCTTCTCTTTTCTAGGCATTCAATCCAACCATTGTTTATTGAACTCCCACTATGCTGTGCACAGAATAAGATCACTGATGTAGTCTTTACCTCAAAACGTCTTCCCACTCAGTACTGGAAAGGAAATAAGGACATAAAGCGGCTACAATAGGAGAAAAACAAATTGGTAGGTTTCATAAGGAAACATAGATAAAATACCACTGAGGCTCTCAAGGGAGGGACCATCTCATTAAGAAATAAAGGAATGGGCCGGCCAAGTGGCGCGATGGTTAAGAACTGGCTTGGGATGCCAGAGGGCCCCGGTTCGGATCCCACATATGAGGGCCAGTGACACTGCCCTCCACAGCTAAGATGCTGAACAACAGCTCAACCTGGAGCTGGGCTTCTGTGAGTCGCTGGCAAACGTAGGCTGCAGCCCCTGTGCCAGTGGGTTGCCATGGGCTACCGTATGTAGCCAGCAGCCAGCGTGAGCGGCCAGCAGCCGCAGTGAGAGGCCGTCCAGAAGCCGGCGACTGATCTGCCTCGTTTGTAAAGAGCGCAATGATGGTGCCAACTTGGGACAGTGAAGCAATGTCCTCGACAACTAGACTGAAGAACAAAATGACAGCCAACTTGTCTGTTCCCCTTCCCCCAATTCCCCAGTGCTGTTCCCATCCCCCCAATTCCCCAATAAGAATCTTTAAAAAAATAAAATAAAAAGAAATAAAGGAATGAGGGGTGGCCAGGTGCCTCAGTTGGTTAGAGCACAAGCTCTGAGCAACAGGGTTGCCAGTTCGATTCCCCCATGAGCCAGTGAACTGCACCCTCTGCAACTATTAGATTGAGGACAATGACTTGAGCTGAACTGCGGCTGAGCTTCCAGTGAGCAGCCGGGTGGCTTAGTTGGTTAGAGCGTGTGCTCTTAACAACAAGGTTGCCGGTTCAACTCCCACAAGGGGTGGTGGGCTGCGCCTCTCCCGCAACTAGATTGAAAACGGTGACTGGACTTGGAGCTGAGCTGTGCCCTCCTCAACTAAGATTGAAGGACAACAACTTGACTTGGAGCTGATGGGTCCTGAAAAAAGACACTGTTCCCCAATAACGTTTTTTAAAAAAAATCTTGAAAAAAAATACAGAACAGCTAAAATGGCAGCATGGCAAAGTAGCCTAAATGTGACTTTGGCGTATTGATGAGGGATGTTGTCATGAAGACAGGAAAAAAAGAAAAAATGAAATTAAACTCAAAATGTTAGAATGGAAAATATTTTTTAATTGCTTGAAAATACAGGAAAAGTTTAGCAAACAGGTCATAAGCAAATAAGGCAGTTGGACAAAGGGTAAGAAGTAAGGAGGGTTATTCAACAGGGAAATGGTTGTGTAATACTCCTAGATGGAAGTTTTACTCAGTAAAAGAGAAAACTTATGAAGATATCTGGGAAAGTGATTTAGAAATAAGTGTTACTGAAATAGGGTACTACATGTCTCAAAGATTGCTAGTAGGCAGAGAAAATACTGGATATGTGGGGGGGGGGAAGTTATTGTTAACATGAAGTGTATTTGTATTTTATGGTAGTCGAAAGAAACCACCTGTTTCAGGTTATGACCCAAGAAAAAGACATGCTGATTACACCCATTCATTCTGTGAACCGTTATGGATGTTGTTATAGGCTGAAATTATCCTTATATCCTTGGACCAGTGGCTAAACACTTTAGACTTGGATTTGTGTTTTAGAATCTGATAATAGTTTTTAAGTTTATTATGATTATTACCAATATCTATTCAGCTTTTGGCAAGAGATTACACTTGACATTAGCTGGCTATCCTTGACATCATCTAGAAGTAAGATATCAGAGGTGATTTAAATCAGTTTTATTGGCTGTAATTTATATATAAAAATCCATTTTTAAATGTAGTTAGTGAATTTTGACATGTGTAGATCCATGTACCTATCCTCTATTTATTGGCTGTAATTTATATATAGAAATCCATTTTTAAATGTAGTTAGTGAATTTTGACATGTGTAGATCCATGTACCTACCCTCTATTTATTGGCTGTAATTTATATATAAAAATCCATTTTTAAATGTAGTTAATGAATTTTGACATATGTAGATCCACGTACCTACCCTCTATCCAAGAAAGAGAATATTTGAACAACCCCGAAAGTTCCCTTGTGCCTCTTCAGTCAGCCCTTCCGTCTCCTCTCCATAGACAGCCACTGTTCTGATGGCTCTTTCTGTAGATTAGTAAGCTGCTGCTTGTATACATGCAATCACGGAGTATGTACTTTTATGTACCTGGCTTCTTTTCCTTAGTGTAATGGTTTTGAGATTTATCCATGTTGTTGTGTGTATTAGTAGTTCATTCTATTAATATTTTGCTGCGGAGTAATGTTCTATTTGACCACCATTTGCTTATTCATTTTTCTGTTAATGGACATTGGATTTTTTTTTCTGGTTTTGGCATTGTGAATAAAACTACTATAAACAAAAAAATAAAAATAAAGAAAGGAATGATCAGGAGAGGTTATGTGGAAGAGGTGAAATACGAGGTGGGCAGCCCTAGTGGAGGGAGAAAAGTTTTATAGGTCAAGACAGCAAGGAGGAGAGGAGACGGTGGGAGGACTTAGCCAGAAGGAACAGAAACAAAAAAGGTACAGACCAGCACTGTCCAAAGAACTTTGTGTGAAGATGGAAATGTCATCTGTGCTGTCACTAAGTAGCCACCAGCCACATGTGGTAATGAGCGCCTGAAATGTACTAGTGTGACTGAGCAACTGAATTGTAAGTTGTATTTAATTTTAATTAATTTACATTTAAATTGCTGCAGGTGGCTGATGGCAGCACAGGTATGAAGGATGCAAGAGGGTTTGGCCTGAACATTAGGAATGAAAGAGGAGAAATCAAAAGGCAGCTGAAGCCCTTTTGCAGGGGGGTCTCATATACCAGCTGAGGAATTTCTAGTCAATTTAGCAGGGAAAGCGAAGCCCTAAAGGTTTTGAGCTGAGAAAAAAATGACCAGAACTGTGCTTTAAGAAAAATTATGTGACAGCGGTAAGTATTCAATATGTGTTTACTAACAGAACTGAATGAAAGTACTAAATGGAGAGAGTGATGACGTGGGAAGATTGGTTAAGATGAACCAGTCTCTTTTGTAGGCATTCAATTCAACAACTGTTTACTGAACAATTGTTAAGAGTCAGCCAGGTGGGAAGTACTTAGAGTACTTAGGGTTTGAACTGGCACGGTGACCTATGGTAAGCTGACTTCTGGACAGGTGGGCTTTAAGGCACTGACAGTGTATGCAGATGAGGCTGCCAATCGCACTGTTGGAAACAAATGTGAGACTCAGGAGAGGGATCCAGGTGACACAGACAGACTGGGAATCATTTATCTGGATACAGGTGGCAGGTGAAGCTGCAGGAGTGGAGGACAGAGCAGAAAGAAAGTCTGAATGCAGAACTGGGGGAAGGCCCATCTTAAAGAGCTGGGAGGGGGACAGAGAGCCAGAGGAGAGAAATGAAAAGTATTACATAAGCAAGGGAAGGACGCGGGCAGTGTCAGGTCACAGGCAAAACAGGAGGAGAGACTATCGTGGAGGTATTTAGCAGTGGCAAATGCTGCAGCAGGATTAAGGGAAAAGAGGGCAAACCACAGAGTGGATGGTGACCATGGGGTGGTGAGGGCAGATGCCACATCATAAAGAAGAGAAGGCAGGCTCGATTTCTCTTTCAAGGAGGTCCAGGGGTCAGGACTCAGTGAGCACCCACTCTGTGCGGACTGAGGGTCCGGTGCTGGGGTGGATGCTAACTCTGCTCCTTTGAGCTACAGTCCAGAGGAGGACACAGACAAGTCAATGGCTACTACAGCCCTGTCTGACAGACGCTATGATCAGGAAGTGTGGTGGGCTCTGGCAGCTCACAGGGAGGCATGGAGGATCTGAACAAACTTCCCAATGAAGGACACCTGAAGGACATGAACCAGCCAGGCAAAATGCAAGGGGCAGAGGGTGTTTCGTGAAGGGAACAACACAGCACATTCCAGTGAGTTTAGTTCAGTTGGAGCCAAAGCACAAGGTAGTGAGCAGTGAGAAATCTGACTGGAGGGGTACAGGGATAGCAGATCATTCAGGACTTATAAATGCTTTGGGAGCTTGATTTTAAACCAAAGAGCAGAGTCACTGTGCTACAACATGGATGACCCCTGAAAACATTGTGCTAA